GGCAGGACTAACATAGTAAAAATGGCAATCTTACCAAAAGCAATCTACAGATTCAATGCAATCCCCATCAAAATACCAACACAATTCTTCACAGACCTGGAAAGAATAATACTCAACCTCATATGGAAAAACAAAAAACCCAGGATAGCCAAAGGAATCCTGTACAATAACACAACTTCTGGAGGCATCACGATCCCTGACTTCAAGCTCTACTATAGAGCTACAGTAATAAAAACAGCTTCGTACTGGCATAAAAACCGACATGTGGACCAATGGAATCGAATTGAAGACCCTGACATTAATCTGCACACCTATGAACATATAATTTTTGACAAAGAAGCCAAAAGTGTACAATGGAAAAAAGAAAGCATCTTCAACAAATGGTGCTGGCATAACTGTATATTAACATGTAGAAGGCTGCAAATAGATCCATATCTATCACCGTGCATAAACCTTAAGTCCAAGTGGATCAAGGACCTCAACATAAATCCAGTTACTCTAAACCTGCTAGAAGAGAAAGTAGGAAGTAGTCTTGAATGCATTGGCATAGGAGATAACTTCCTAAATATAACACCAGTAGCACAGACACTGAGAGAAACAATCAATCAATGGGACCTCTTGAAACTGAGAAGCTTTTGTAGAGCAAAGGATACGGTCAACAAGGCAAAGCGACAGCCTACAGAATGGGAAAAGATCTTCACCAACCCCACATTTGACAGAGGACTAATATCCAGAATATATAAAGAATTCAAGAAATTAGACATCAAAATGCCCAACAGTCCAATTAAGAAATGGGCTATAGAACTAAACAGATAATTCTCAACAGAGGAAACTCAAATGGCTGAAAGACATTTAAGGAATTGCTCAACATCCCTAATCATCAGGGAAATGCAAATCAAAACAACTCTGAGATACCACCTTATGCCTGTCAGAATGGCTAAGTTCAAAAACACTGAAGACACCTTATGCTGGAGAGGATGTGGTGCTAGGGGAACTCTCCTCCACTGCTGGTGGGAATGCAAGCTTGTACAACCACTTTGGAAATCAATATGGTGCTTTCTTAAAAAACTGGCAATCAATCTCCCCCAAGATCCAGCTATACCACTCTTGGGCATATACTCAAGGAATGCTCAATCATACCACAAGAACACTTGTTCAGCTATGTTCATATCAGCATTGTTTGTAATAGCCAGAACATGGAAACAACCTAGATGCCCTTCAACTGAAGAATGGATAAATAAAATGTGGTACATATACACAATGGAATAATACTCTGCAGAGAAAAACAATGACATCATGAGGTTTGCAGGCAAATGGATGGATCTAGAAAAAAATCATCCTGAGTGAGGTAACCCAGACTCAGAAAGACAAACATGGTATGTACTCACTCATAGGAGGATACTAGATGTGGAAAAAGGAAGACTGGACTGCTACTCACAACAACAGGGAGGCTACCTGGAAAACAGGACCCAAAGAAAGACACGGGGATTGCCCATTGACAGAGAAATGGAAGAGATCTACATGAACAGCCTGGACATGAGTGGGGGTAATGAAGGGTGAGGGTCGAGGGAAAGAGAGCTTGGGGGAGCGGGAGATCCCAGCTGGATCAACAACAGAGAGGGAGAACAAGGAATAGGAGACCATGGTAAATGAAGACCACATGTGAATAGGAAGTAGCAAAGTGCTAGCGAGGCCCACAGAAATCCACAAAAATACCCCCACAACAGACTACTGGCAATGGTCGAGAGACAGCCCGAACTGACCTACTCTGGTGATGGGATGGCCAAACACCCTAATTGTCGTGCTAGAAACCCCATCCAACGACTAAGGGATCTGGATGCAGAGATCCATGGCTAGGCCCTGGGTGGAGCTCTGGGAGTCCAATTAGTGAGAAAGAGGAGGGTTTATATGAGTGAGAATTGTTGAGACCAAGGTTGGATAAAGCACAGGGACAAATAGCCAAACAAATGGAAACACATGAACTATGAACCACTGGCTGAGGGATCCCCCCTGGATCAGGCCCTCTGAATGGGTGAGACAGTTGATTGGCTTGATCTGTTTGGGAGGCATCCAGGCAGTGGGACCGGGTCCTGTGCTCATTGCATGAGTTGGCTGTTTGAAACCTGGGGCCTATGCAGGGTCGCTTGGCTCGGCCTGGGAGGAGGGGACTGGACCTGCCTGGACTGAGTCTACCAGGTTGATCTCAGTCTGCAGGGGAGGCATTGCCCTGGAGGAGGTGGTAATAGGGGGTGGGCTGGGGGGAAGGTGAGGTGTGTGGGAGGGGGGAGACCAACGGAATCTGTGGCTGATATGTAGAACTGAATTGTATTGCAAAATAAAAAAAAAGATTTTTCATAAGCGAGAAGGAAAGGTAAAAAAGACATAAAAATATAATTGGAAACCATAATATCTAAGCAAATGATGAGTAAGCTAAATTATGAAAAAGCAGAGAATTATGAGTCCCCAAACTTACAAAATATCATGATTTCAATTCTTAAATTTTCTTATTTATTGGAAATAGATTTTTTCCATACACTATATTCTTATCATGGTTTTCCTTACCCTACTCCTCCCAGATCATCCCCACCTTTCTACCCAACCCAAAACATACCCTTTCTTTTTCCTTCTCAGTTAAAACACAGAGACATGTAAGATAAATTAGTACATAAGTAAATAAAACCAATACAAATCTAGTAAAATGATACAAATAGAAAAAGTCATAAATCTCCATTGAGACCTGAAGCAGTGAAAAATTGGCCATAACACAAGTGGAAATTGTCTTTAAAATGAGCTCATGCTCTTTCTTTAAAATGTAATAAATACCTTGTCATGGAAAATAAACCTAGACAGATTATCTCTCTAGAGATAACATGTGGCTCAAGTTAAAAATTTATTAAAATAAGCAATGGTCAAATTTATTCTTATAGTGCAATTACAGATATTGTGGTTAGAGTCAGATGCTGTAAGAAAGATATTTATACTCCCAGACCCTATACTTTAAGCTAAGGTACTTCTTTAATAAGCAACTCTCCAGGTTAAGTATTCCAATATTCTAACAGAATCCAACATATATATCAGTTTACATAAACAAGGACTGCATTGACTAATAAACAAATGATTATTCATCATTTTTGTTAATTACTTCTTACTTCCCTATGAAAAAATTGACCTGAAATGAAAAATGAAATGGAAGATAAGCTTATTTTGCTTCCTGATGTTTAAGAAATACCATCATTATTAAAGGAAAGACACATAGGATTCAGGTGGGCTGCAGGTGATGAGATTTGGATGTATCAACTTTCATAGTAGAGGACAAGGAATCTGAGACTGAAGGCCAATGCTTGAGGTAGGTACAACTTTCAAAAGTCCGTGAATAGTGACCTACTTTCAGTATATAAGCTCAAACGCTTTGAAATCCTACCTCGCCCTCCTTGAAAGTTCTCTCCCATACCAGAAATCAGTATCACAAAACAATGAATTAGAGAAAGAACAGCAGTCATCATTAAAATATTCCAAATTTCAGACCCACACCCAGTATCTAAGTGTAATATTGAGATAATCTGGGCCATGGTGTGACATCCCATAACATCAGGTCTGCTAGCTATAACACACATTACCTCTGTGTGGGTTCAGTTCCACAGCAGGCATATAAACTTCCTCTGCAGAAGTCATTCCAGGTGCAATATGGTCTTAGGCCTTCCCTAATTACAGGACTCTGGACTTCCTATAGACCATTGTCAGTTAATTCTGAAACCTTGATGGAAACTGCCAAGGGCTACTCATGTTTAGAACTCTTTTTACTTCCTGCAACACAGAACCATTTTTTAAATGCTGCCAATCCTGTAACCATCTTAAACTGTATCGTGATGGCTCGCATCATAGTTACAACAGTCTCTTTGTGATAACCTGTAGCTAGAGTTTTCCTGCCTGGCCCACAGTCAGGACAAATCTCTCTCACCCGCCAGTCCCAAGTCGCTCAAACCCGATCAAGTAAACACAGACACTTATATTGGTTACAAACTGTATGGCCGTGGCAGGCTTCTTGCTAACTGTTCTTACAGCTTAAATTAATCCATTTCTATTAATCTATACCTTGCCACATGGCTTGTGGCTTACCGGCATCTTTACATGCGGCTTGTCATGGTGGCTGGCGGTGTCTCCCTCTCAGCCTTCCACTTTCCAGCTCTATTCTCCTCCTTGTCCTGCCTATACTTCCTGCCTGGCCACTGACCAATCAGTGATTTATTCATTGACCAATCAGCAACACATTTGACATACAGACCATCCCACAGCACCTCCCCTTTTCTTTTCTTAAAAAGGAAGGTTTTAACCTTTACACATCTCCAAAGTCAGCTTGGTATATTTGGGAATTTGGGCGTAGCTTCTCTTACTACTTCCTGCTGGAGGGGGGCGCTGTATCTTCTGGGGAAACAAAGAAAATTTTAGGATCATGGAGTAGTCCGTGAGGCTGTATCATCTGAGCCAGTTGCCTTGAAACGGTTCTGGATGTTGGATCATCTGGGCCATGGTGTCATCGGAGACCTTTCAGGTGGTCTTGGCTGGTCAAACCTGATGTGTCTTAATCTGGCACAAATCCATAGCCTCTTGCTTTCTGTGGAAACAAAAGAGACTCTTTTCCAAAGCAACATATCCTTACATCCAAATTTTGAAGTTAAAGTATCTTTAAAATATACATACTGGTTTAACTCAGCTTCCTTTATAATCAAATATCTCTCTGTAGTTAAGAATCCCAAAGACAACACAATCCAGACTCTCTGTGTAATAGTCATCTCTACGTGGCTTATTTTTTATATTAATTTTACTGTCTCTTTAAAGACTTTATTTTTTAAAACCATGTATTTGTTTCTATACTGCATATATCACCTTTTTTTGTCTCTTTCAAGCCTACGTATGTTTTACACACATTTTAAACTATTACATCTGAATCTGTCTTATTATGAATCTGTTGCTTTAAGCTGCAGCAGCTGTGGCTGCTGGCTCCGCCCACCTCAGCTTCCCAACATGGCGGCGGTACTGTAGTTTTCCGCCAGCTCTGGGAGCTATCATGGGTCTATGCTTTTATCCAAGCAGCGTGTAGCCCAGAAACCATTTTTTGTTTTGTACTAGCAAAGGCTAAATTCACCAAGTAGCTTAATGTGCCACTTGCAGAGGCCTCATTCCCGCCATACTGCAGGTCGAGCGCGCACGCCAGCAACCCGCCAGTAGCTCAAACCGGCAGCTGCCGCTCATTTGAGAGAGACAATTAGGAAGCTGTTTTTAGCTCCGTTTTAGAATCTTTTTTTTCAGGTTTTAGGTGGAAACTCTTGCCACCACGTTGGACGCCATTGTCTGTTGCGGGACCCTGGACTGGAGAGGTGGACTGAGCAGAGCTCCAGAGAACACCGCTGGACTGTGATACACCTTCCCCAGACTCCGCGACCTACCTATTCCTTAATTTGTAAGTTACGCCATTAAATAAATCTCCTTTTAACTACGTGGAGTGGCCTTAATAATTTCACCAATAATAACCCATGGTAATAAGTCTGTATTTTATCAGTTTATATCAGGGAACCATTTGACCAGCATTTTCAATCAAATACATTCCAAAGGAACTGCCATATTCTCATTTGGAGTCTTCTATGAGTGCTGTTTTAAAGTGAGGGGAACCTAAATATTTTCACTGTGCACAGCATAAGTGTCCTGCTTAGTGGTATTGGTGGTTTTCCTCTCTTTGCCAATTCCAGGAGCTTTGTCACAAACTGACAACAACTTTAAGTCACTGGGTTTGAACCAAGATTAAGGAATTGGTTATTCCTCTCTATTAGTTCTTTAAGAACTGTGTTCAGTGGGTACTGTAGATTTTCTTCCCCTTCTTCCAGTTATATTAGATCTAACACCTATCTGTAGCCCAAGAACTTTCTGCCATACTTTTCTACCATCAAGGAAAATGAGTCCTATTCTTAAAGTTTTTGGATTGTATTCCACTGGAACATAGTTGACTAACCCAGTGTATAACTCTTGAAAATAATTCTCATTTTTTCTCCCCATGGATGTGTCAAATGCCAGTAATTCCTCAGCTAGTGGCAGGTCGTCATAGCTACCTCCAATCTCAGTTGGGGGATTTGATCCTCTGTGTGCTTGCACTAAGTTTGTGCATGTTGTCACACTTAATGTGAGTTCATATGCTCAACTGACTTGTTGTGGGCTAAGAAATTGTTTCTTATAGTAATCAACCATGATTCTTACTTACAATCTTTCCACTTCTTCATGAGCCTGATGAGGAGGGGATATGATGTTCCAAAGGGCTGAAAATTATCCACTCTTATTTCATGTACCTTGGCCAATTTTTGTCTCTGTGTTAGTCACCATCTGCTCCAAATAGAAACATCTTTTTGTGTTAGTTTACTAGGAGTTCACTCTTTTTACAGTTTTTAATATAAAACCTGTTTCTTTGGAAATTAAATACTTGATTGTGATTTTGATCAAAATATAAAAAGGAATTTGTAGATCAGCAGCCTAAAGACAATGGGTAATAATGTTGGACTCACCTTAGTAGTCTTAAGAAAATGAGAAGAGAGAACAAGAGGTCTCAGGGTGAGGTGGATGTGTAGACAGCATTTCCATGGTACAAGATGAATAGAAAGTGTCAGAGTAACAAAGGAGAGAGTTCATTCCTTGCAGTGCATGAAATGGGAAGTCACTGAAATCCAGAAAGAGGTATCATGACCCACATAATAAACAGGTAAAGAGAGAGGCAATATAGTGAGCTGAAGGAAACTGTCCACACTTCCAACATGGAAACCAGATAATAGCAGAATGATGGACCCATACAGGATAAGGCATCTGGGGAAAGGGCTCTGTTTCTCAAAAACTGGCATTCCTTTTCAAAGGAGAGACATGTGATGCTGGTGTTAACCTAGTGGGATAATTTTCTGTTACAGTATTCCTTTCTTCATGGCACACTAGATCTGTGAACACAGGGACTTCGTTTATTCATGATTCACAGAATAGTATAATCAGGGGACCACTATAACATGATCCTGATCAGTCAAAAACAAAGAAGGCTGGGGGTCCCACTGAGTGAGCCTGTGTATGTTCATGGCCACAATAAGCAGTCATGGACAGTGGCCTATTCAAATGCAGATATTCTGATTAAAGTCAAGGAGAAAGAGGCTGGAGTGGTTATATCTTTATGTCTCTCCCTCTGTGATGAGACGTGAGCCTATTCTTTTTAGCAATTGTGACTGTATAGGTATACTAAGCCCATAGTCAACAATTTTTGTATTATCCATATTTTTTCTTTCTGTACTTGGTCTACTATACCGTGGGACTAAAAATTCTAGGTAACAATCTTCCCCCTACAGATGTGCACACTGCTCAATAGGCTGTGAAAGCAGTGAGGTGCTCATACTGAAGCTAATTTCCCACAGTCCCATGACCCAAAGAGTCCATTTGTCTTAGATTTCTGCCTTCCATTAGTGCAAAAATTTAGTGTGGTTTCTCTAGTGAGTAGTGTGTTGCATAACTCATAAACTACCACCAAACATACCCAGAAACAGCTAGCAGATTCCAGTATTAGTGGTTATTGACAAAAAAAAAAACCCTTCTCCAGCTAATTATTTTCTCTCTTTTTATGCATTGTTAGTTCATTTTAAGTATGTTTTCACCATTTACGCCAGCATGTCTTTGGTCTACAAGTAGAGCAGAAGAATAACTTCTTATGTCAAGGACTTTAAACAAAAAGAATCAATTTATTATACGTACTCCTTATATTTTTAAGTATTTTATAACAGTCTTTCATCCGCAATGTGTATATATATATATGTATGTATATATACTTACATATATATAAATATGATATTACATTTAATTAGTTAATCATGCTTTTCTTTGGATTATGCTTTTATTCTGAATAATACCACATTTTAATGGGCTATATTATTTCATGAATATAATATTGTCCCTAATCATACCACAGTGGGCTACTTTTGCTGTTATTAGGTAGACCAATTTATGTCCTATTTATAAAGAGAATGTCAAGTGATAATCAACCAGATTAAATAGTATATAGGTAAATACAGAAGGCTTTTGTTATTACTGTGAATTTGTATGTTAGCTGTCAAACCAAAATCAGTTTAGAATACTGTTCTCATATCTCTCTTTTCCATATGTACAGTTTTTTATCCACTCACTCCTTTGACTTTCTTCCCTTTTTTTTAAATTGTTCACAGGAAATCATGTTTTGGTAACCCTGCAATTTTATCACTATCTATTTTTTAACCATTTATCACCATTACATAAAAGACATCTATTTTGTTGAGAATGAGAATCTCTTTCTGATTTCTCTTTCTGTTGAATGCTATACCATACAAGTATATAAGTGTGAGAGAACTTTACAGTGTGGGTATTTACTCGAGTAACCTTTCTTTCATCATAATTATTTTTGATAGTTGAGGAACCATAAACATTCAAGAACAGCAGGACAGAAAATATTGTATTAAATTTTACAATGAAAATGTAAACAATTCAAATGAATTCGGACTTTGAGATTTGCCTTAGACAGTCACAATTTTTGTTGGTGTTAAATTGTGAAGCAATTTATGTGATTGAGATTTACCACAGAAGTTCCTATCAATATCCTCTTAATAATAGTTTGCACATGCAAGGAAATCAAGCCTCTTTCTGTGGAGAACTGTAACAGACAGAAGACAGATTTGAAATAACTTATTAAACAACAGAGACCAACAAACAATGTGAATGCCAGGTCCAGAGGTAGAAATGCTAATGTTACAACACAGTATATTTGAAGCAGAGCCATGGAGGTTAAGCTGAGTTAAGAAAACCCACTAGGGAAGATAGTTTGTAAAACCTGCAGAAGAGACTAGTATAGAAAAATCTAAGTAGATCTGAGCTCTGCAGTGATTCACTATAGAATTTTAATTAGTGGTCAAAAAACAGTCCAAGTTGTGCATAATGGAAAACAAAAGAAATGAAAATTCTTTGAAAGAAGCATATATTCTTTGTTAACATGTAATAAAAACCCATCATAGAAATCATGTCTCATGGGGCTGGAGAGATGGCCTAGTGGTTAAGAGCACTGACTGCTCTTCCAGAGGACCTGGGTTCAATTCCCAGCACCCTCATGGCAGCTCACAACTGTCTGTAACTCCAGTTCCAGGGAACCGACACCCTCACACAGGCAAAACACCAATGCACATTAAAAAAGTTAATTAATTAAAAAATGCTTTCTTAAAGAAATCATGTCTAAATACAAAATCTCCTTGGAAGGAAATTCTAGGCTACACAAACTTTTTCACACAAAAAAAAATGTTAAAATTTGATTTTTAATAAAAATAATGGATACTTTTTCTGAGAAACTTTTCCATACATTTTTTCTTCTTTTTATTATTGAGAAATTCTCTATTCATTTTACAAACCAACTACAGATCCTCTTCTCCTCCCTCATCCTTCCTCCCACCCACAGAGCTTCCCCGCTCAACACAGCCCCTGTTCCCATCTTCTCCAAGGCAAGGCCTCCAATGGGAGGTCAGCAGACCCTGGTACATTCAGTTGATGAAGGTCTAAATGCCTCCCCCTGCACCTAGACTGTGTAAGGTGTCCCACCATAGGCACTGGGCTCCAAAAAAGCCTGCTCATGCACCAGTAACAGATCCTGAACCAAGCCAGTGTACCCTTAAGCAGGTCAAGCTAAACAACTGTCATGCCTATGTTGAGGGCCTAGTCCAGTTCCATGGAGGCTCCAGAGCTGTTGGCCCACAGTTTATGAGTTCCCACTAGTTTGGTGAGTTGTCTCTGTAGGTTTCCCCATCTTGATTCTGATGCTCCTTGCTCAGAGAATCCTTCTTCTCTCTTACCCATGGGCTCCCAGAGCCTAGCCTGGTGCTTGGGTGTAGATCTCTGCATCTGCTTCCATTAGTTACTGGATGAGGGCTCTATGATGACAGTTAGGGTATTCACCAATTTGATTACTGGAGTAGGCCAGTTCAGGCACCCTCTCCACTATTACTAGTAGTCAAAGGTGGGGTCAACGTTGTGGATTCCTGGGAACTTCCCTAGTAACCTTTTGCTCCTTATTCCCATGATGTCTCCCTCTATTAAATTATCTCTTTCCTTGCTCTCCCACTCTGTCCCTGTTCCAGCTTGTCCATCCTGTTCCCTTATGTTCCTATCCTCCATTCCCTACCCTCCATTGTCCCCCTCACTCCAAGTGTGGTTATGGAAATCTCATCTATTTTCCCCTCCCAAGTCATCCTTCTTAGGGTTCTCCTTGTTAGCTAGCTTCTCTGGAGCTGTGGGTTTTAGTCTGGTTATCCTTTGATTTACATCTAGTATCGATTTATGAGTGAGTACATACCATATTTGTCCTTCTGAGTCTGAGTTAGCCCACTCAGAAGGATATTTTGCAGTTCCATTCATTTGCCTGCAAACCTCATGATGTCATTTTTTTTTTACTGCTGAGTAGTACTCCATGGTATATATGTGCCACATTTTCTTTATTCATTTATTCTTTGGTTGAGGGACATCTATGTTGTTTCTAGTTTCTGGTTATTACAATAATGTTGTTATGAACATAGTTGAGCAAGCATCTTCGGGGAATGATTGAGCATTCCTTTGTTATATGGGACTTGAGGTAGATTGATTCCCAATTTTCTGAGAAACTGCCATACTGATCTCCAAAGTAGCTGTATAAGTTTGCACTCCCACCAACAATGGAGGAGTGTTCCCCTTGCTCCACATCCTCTCCAACATAAGCTGTCATCAGTGTTTTTGATCATAGCCATTCTGACAGTTATAATATGGTATCTCAGAGACATTTTGATTTGCATTTCCCAGATGACTAAGAATGTTGAGCAATGCCTGAAATATCTTTCAGCCATTTGAGATTCTTCTGTTAAGAAATCTCTGTTCAGCTCTGTAGACCATTTTTTAAATTAGGTTGTTCGGTATTGTATTTTCATATCTAGTTTCTTGAATTCTTTGTATATTTTGGAGATCAGCCCTCTGTCTGATGTGGGGTTGGTAAAGATTTTTTCCCATTATTTAAGCTATCATTTTGCCTTATTGACTGTGTCCTTTGCACTACAAAATCTTCTCAGTTTCAGGAGGTCCTATTTATTAATTGTTGCTTTCAGTGTCTATGCTACCAGTGTTATATTTAAGAAGTGGTCTCCTGTGCCAGTGAGTTCAAGACTGCTTCCTATTTTCTCTTCCATCAAGTTCAGTGTAACTGGATTTACACTGAGGTCTTTGATCCACTTGGACTTGAGTTTTGTGCATGGCAATAGATATGGATATATTTGCAGTCTTCTACATGTTGACATCCAGTTATTGCAGCACCATTTGTTGAAGATGCATTCTTTTTTCCATTGTACAGTTTTGGCTTATTTGTCAAAAAACAGGTGTGCAGATTAATGTCAGGGTCTTCAATTCGATTCCATTGGTCCACATGTTGATTTTTATGCCAATATCAAGCTCTTTTTATTACTATATCTCTATAGTAGAGCTTGAAGTCAGGGATCATGATGCCTCCAGAGGTTGCTTTATTATACAGGATTCTTTTAGCTATCCTAGGTTTTTTGTTTTTCTATATAAAGTTAAGTATTGTTCTTTCCAAGTCTGTGAAGCATTGTGTTGGGATTTTGATGGGGATTGCATTGAATCTGTAGACTGCTTTTGGTAAGATTGTCATTTTTACTATGTTAATTCTACCTATCCATGAGCATGGGAGATCTTTCCATTTTCTGATATCTTCCTTAATTTCTCTCTTCAGAGACTTAAAGTTCTCATCATATAGGTCTTTCACTTGTTAAGTTAGTGTTACCCCAAGGTATTTTACATTATTTGTGGGTATTTTAAATGGTGATGTTTCTCTGATTTCTTTCTTAGCCCATTTATCATTTGTATATAGGAGGGCTACTGTTATTTTGAGTTAATCTTGTATCCTGCCACCTTACTGAAGGAGTTTATCAGCTGTAGGAGTTCAGGGAATGAATTTTATGGAAATGAATTCTAGAGAAATATGAAAATGACATTAGAAATTGGGGGCTTAAAGATGGATTTTATCAACACATGAAACCACTAAATATAAAATCCTAAATTCCAACATTATTTCTGAGTGTTGGAATGGTACTAAACTCCCATAAATACCTCATTGTACTTAAGAAACATATGAACTATGATTTAAAATGGACATTTATTACGGAATGTGCTTCATCCCTGATTTAAAAAAGTAAGTAACTATGTGTTCTTAATAAAATAATGTAGCATTTTGTGACAAAAATGCAATCTACAAGCCCAACACTGGGGGGGGGGGGAGGAAAAGATCTCTGTTTCCATCATAACTTTTCCCTTTGTGCTATGTTAGACAGGGAGGGAGGTGACCCAAAATAAAGGAATGAAAGGAAGCTGGATGACATAAACTAGGCTTCACTAAATGTGTCAGATAAAATCCTACACAAAAAAGCTAGAGAGTAATTTTTAATTGCCGAAAGCAGAGGTATCCCAGGACACAGTGGAAGAAAACAACTGTGCCCATGTTGTACACAATGGTGATGTGCCCACAGTCAAATTGAGCATCTGAATCAATAAAGGGAGAAGATGTGGTCAGCCAAATTTCACAGAACACTTGTTTGATATGTGTGAAGATGGGAATGACTATGTTATGGGCCCTTGATATCACTAAAAACCTCTCCATTCACCCTAGAGCAGTGACTTGAAGAACTAGAGTAAGCCTTTTGGCCAAGAAAGTGGAATGAGCCACGTTGAACATAGCTCCAAATGTGCTTTGCTTTAGGATGAAGATGGCTGTGTTGGGATGACAAATGAAGAGCAAGGGACAGAGAAAACAGAAGACCAGAATGATGAGCAGGATGTAAATAAAAGCCTGATTACTAGCCTTGGCATTGGGAGCTGTGTGGTGCTTTCTAAAAACACCAAGAACACAAACAGTAGAGTCCAAGAAGACCAGAGCCACACATATGAGTACCAGCCCATAATGGATCTTCACAGGATAGAAAGGTCAGAGCTTTTTGGAGGCAGTGGTTTTGCTGTGTGCCTGAACACTGATTTTCTGAACACTTCACACACTGCCCCATATCTGAATAAAAGTGAGTTGTCACAAGTCAATGCTAAGGTTTATCTTTTATCCCAAGCCACCTCCAAGCTTTTTAGAGATTAACCTTACAAGTTCCTTTCTTGTTTAGATGCTAATAAGACAACCTTCCACAGCTAACAATTCCAAATGTTCTGTCATTAATTATTGCTTATGAATATAGGCCATCTATATTGGGACGTAAATTAACAAGTTGTTTCTTTTCCTGTCTTTATCTTTATCTTTATTATTTAGCCATAAATATATAAATTACTCTGAACATACCTAAATTGCCCAGAACATCACCACCTTCTAAAACAGTTCAATTTTTATACAACTGTGAACTCAGCACTAAAATGAAATTTGCAAATGTTTCTTCCTAACGTGCCTTCATAGTGTCCCCTCACTGAACTGAATGCCCATTGTAAACATATTCATCTGCAAATCATTAAAATCATAATATGCATAGGATACAATAAATATTATATATAGAATTAAGTATTTATGTTTAAAGATTGGTATAGTACATTCTGCATGGATTTATGTGTAATATTTCAGTTTGATCCATGTGTAGTTTAGTCTCTTGTTTTTACCATACTGCTGTTGTATAGTAGTCTTCTTAAATTAGAATCTTGCATGGTTTGATTCATAAATTCCATATCAGTGCTTAGTGTCAATGCTGAGATTAGGTTTCCTATGAACAGTCTGAACTTTGACCATCTGTGCAATTTTGTCATCTTTCCTCAGTGAGTCCTTCATTCATACAGATTCCTGATTTCTCCCCAGCCAGCGTGCAGGCTCCATTACTTTTTAGGTTTTTCCTTGAATATGTAGTATTGTGAGAAACCTCTCACATGCCTCTATAAAACATGATAGCTGAGAATCATCTCCACTTATTATGTTATAGAAAACACTCAACAAATGTATCCTGAATTTTCTATAACAAGATTGCTGTGGATATTGCTCTGTATAAATAAACACTGAGTGGCCAGTAGCCAGGCAGGAAGTATAGGCAGAACTAATAGAGAGGAGAATTGAGAGAACAGGAAGGGAGAGGGGGAGACTGCCTGGAGTCACCGCCAGGACAAGAAAAATGTAAGGTACCAGAGGGCCACGAGCCACCTGGGAAAATATAGATTAATAGAAATGGGCTAAATATAGGAGTAAGAGCTAGACAATGATAGGCCTGAGCTAATGGCCAAGCAGTTTAAATAATGTAAGAGTCTGTGTGTTTATTTTATAAGTGGGCTCTGAGACTGGTGGGACTTGGCGGCAGCTGGAGAGAAATTCTCCAGCTACACAAGATGAATTTAAAGCATGGAACATGGTGTGTGCTATCCTGCAGCAATAAACTTAAATTTAGTGTAATTTTATTCACAATAATTTAAATGTAAAATAGTCATGTCAAACAAAAAGTGTCAGTCATTATATAAATGAGGACCTTGCCTTAAATTGCTGCATCAAGATTTCTCAATCAGTTGTGCCATATTCCCTGATAATGCAGGAGAAAATACAGATGTTATAAATGGTATTTTAACTAGAATTTTCTCTCCAAATTTTTTTTTTTACTTTGATACTGCTCTTAAAAACACAACATCTTTATTTCAAATAACCAAAATAACTAAGTTTTCCAGCAGTCAGAAGTTAATTCTGGATATTTGAAATAAAGTTTATCTGAACAGAAACTTATGGAGTTAATTATCCAGAGTTTCAAGGATTTCACCCTGAGAATAGAACAAACAAATTCTCCCTGTGGCCAGACCCTTGAGAATCTGACCCATTTTGGCAAAGCCAATGGATAGTTCACTGCATAATTCTGGGCGTGATGCCAGCATCATATGTGCTAAATGCTCTCCTTGCTTTCTTTATAGAAACCAAATTACTCGATGCCTCTAGCTTCACTTTCTCAGAGCAATGGATAAAATATCTTTTACAAGAGAAAACACCCCCTGATGACTCTCTTCTGGTGAGCTGGAGGGGATTTTGCTAAAAACATACAGTGTACCTGATTCAGCCCCTGAAGCCTTTGATGTTTCAGGTGTGACCATTAATTTGGGATTATCAGGAATAGGTTGTTGCCTTTCCAACAAGCCTTGTGACTAACCTGACAGAGTGACAGTAGTTTGTGACATTAAAATTTTCATACCTGTTTTTGAGAGAATGATTATAACCATAAGAATCTAGGAAGAATGCTAAGGAATATATGATATCAACAGTTATGGAAACAGTCTAGGAACAGGACATAAAGCAGAATTATAGAAATCCCCAATGCCCACATTTCTAATAGCTTTACCAATAATGTAGGAAGGCGACATGATAAACAGGGATAATCAGTGCCAAGTATTAAGTGTAAGCTTTTAAGTAATGTAGTTTACAGAATGATAAGAAAAAATCTGGTATATTCCCCCATAGGAGATAGAGTAGTACAGAATGAAGAATAAATTGATTCAGCCTTGAATGATGTGTTCCTTCTGAGAAATTTGATTTGACTAGAGGTAAACATGTCTTTCCCTTTGCACAACACTTCAATGCATATGCTGCCAATGAGGGCACACTGTTTTACTGATAGATGTGCCTAGTTAGAAAACACCCCTCGTTGCTTTCAATACTGCTAATGTTTCTAACATTAGAGCTATGAATCTAGTAGGTAATTGTTACCAGTGGGAAATTTGGGGGACTGAAGGGGAGTGAGGTAAAAGAACAAACTAGTAATAATTGTAACCATTATTAGAAACATAAGAAAATAAAATTTGATTGTAAAACTGTTCATGCAAACTATTGAATCTGTATAAATAATAACAGCCCAGGCTATCCAGGGCCACTTGCATGAATCCTAAATGGTCTTAATAAAAACTCACAGCCAGATCCAGGGTGAAAGCTGAAAGATCAGAGAAGCAGAGCAAGCCACAACCACCACCTCTTACCTTACCAACTCCTCAGTCTAAGAGTGTGAGTCCCTCTCTCCTCCCACCTTATATTCCTCTCTCTGCCCAGCCATATCACTTCCTGTCTCAACCTTCCTAGTGCTGGTATTAAAGGTGAGTGACTCTCAAGTGCTGGAATTAAAAGTGTATGCCACCACTGCTTGCCTCTGTTTCTCTTTTAGACTGGATTAATGTTATGAACCCAGTGTGGCCTTGAACTCACAGAAATACAGATGGATCTCTACCTCTGCCTCCTGAGTGATAGGATTAAAGGTGTATGCCACTACTGCCAGGCCTCTATGTTTAATCTAGAAGCTTGTTCTCCTCTGATCTTCAGGCAAATTTTATTTGTTCAAAGTATCACCAGAGGTGACAATGTTAGGGTGTGGTGCAGAACAAATGCCTTGAATTAGTCTTTCACTCAACATTACTTTTAAAAATTAGCTCAAAAAGTAATGGGTTGGGTTACAGCATTGTCCTGTAAGCTTATGTTTGATTCTCTTCCTGCTCCTGCCCCACTACACACCCTCACAGGACCCTCTGCCCCCGCTACTCCTCCCACTCTCATATTTCAGGTGTTCTATTACTATCTTCTCTTCATGAATGACTCATTTCCACCTTTTGACCTTTTCCCCACTTCTACCAGCATATACATGTAAATATAAGTAAATATAATACAAAGATGTGATTATAAGAAAAGCACATGGTAATTGTCCTTTGGAGCCTGGGTTACTGCAATTAGTATTTTTTCCAGTTCCATCATATCATACCATTTTCTTATACAGAACAATTCCAAAGCATATGAGGAAAATATTCCCATTCTCCTTTTAGTAGTTGATGAACATTTTGAGTCATGAATTTGCTTGCTGTTGTGAAAGAACAGACATAAAAATCCTATTATGAAAGTGTCTTTGTGGGAAGACATAGAGATCTTAATGTGCATGGCCAGAAGTGAAAGATAATGGTCACAAGGTAGTGTTATGTTTAGTTTAGAACCTGTTCCAGTTCTCTCCATTATGGCAAAATTGACCAGTGTTTGATGGCTTTTCTCTTTCCTAGCATTCCCATGACAATTTGTTCTCTATTTTGTTTTATTTGAAGATTTATTTATTTTTATTTTATGTGTATGAGTATTTTTCCTGAATGTGCTTCCTTGATGTCCTGGAAGGCAGAAGAGGACACCAGATCTTCCTGAACTGAAGTTAGGGATGGCTCTAAAACACCCCATGGGTGCAAGAAACCAAACTCAAGTCCTATGAAAGCAGAAAGTATTCTGAACTTTTGGGTCCTCTTTCCTGCCCCATTCTGATTAGGTGAAAACTGATTCTCAAAGTAAGCATTTTCAACTTTCTATGTGCTCATATGTGTATCTCTGCATGTGGGTATATGTGGTTGTGGGCCATATATATATATACATATATATATATACATATATTTACATATGTATATATATACATATATATATATGTGTGTGTGTGTGTGTGTGTGTGTGTGTGTGTGTGTGTGTGCCATGTCTCCAACTGTTTATGCACATGCAGAAGCTTTATTCCATTGACATCACAACTGTCACTGAGACTGTCAGTTGAAGCCCAGTATCTCCTCCTCCAGCCAGCCATTACACGTCCCAGTGCAGTAGGCTTCTACAAGACCACACAAAAATTCTTAAGTGTGTTGAGGACTTGAATCAGGTCCCCATGCTTGTACAGACAATGCTTTTTTACACATAGCCACCCTCAGCCCCTTGAAGTTTTATTTTCATTACTGTCTTGGGTAAAAATGATGAGCATCTTAAAATGTATTTGCTGAACATTTGAACTGTTTTGGAAACTGCAATTTCAGTTTTATACTTAACTTTATACTGCTTATTGTTATACTTAACAATTTA